TACCAGATTAATCTTGTACAGGGAAATTGGGGAAATGGGCACAGATTTCTCAGACACTTTTTTATACTATACAGTGTGGCCTGAATGACTTAAATAATTTTTTGTATTTAAACACAGACGTAAACAGACAAATTTTGAAAAAAGTAAATAATATAAAAAAAATATAATATAATATAAATTGTCGATATATCTGTGTGTGTGTGTATATTTATGTATTAAGTTTAAATGTCAAACACAAAGTCTACAAATGGTCTCAGACTTCAGATTCAGCTGCTTCCATTTTGTCACCTTCAAGCAGTAACTAATTTACCTGAATATTAATGACTGAAGAAAAATGCAGAATTGTTAAAAGTAGCACGGCTTTCTTTGTGAAAATAGATTTATTTTGTTTGCTGTGCTTTCTTCGAATAGTTCTTCTTGTAGATGGAGTACCTCTAGACAGCTGTCAAACCTTGCGAATCCCAAGTCTTTACGTTAGATCAGAGGATGTGCAGTGGGATTTCAAACGCAAATATATGGCAGCCGCAGTCTGAATCCTGTCCTAACCGTCTGTTAGACAGAGAGGAATGGTTTACTCAGGGTAGATTCAGCTCATAATAACTCATGAGATCACTGTGTGATAATCCTGCAGTCTTCATAAAACACTGACTGGATGGATGAACAGCTATGAAAAGTTGTTCAAACAAGCATGTTCTGTAATATGGCAGACAATCATGCGGCAAACCTGATGAAAGAAAGGAGTCCTATTGTAGTGCTGTTGACAGACTAATAGTGGAAAGTTAAACACAAGGTTATCAGACCACTCTGTGCTCATTCCAATGTGTTTGGTTAATTTAACTTTTAATTATAATTCCATAAAATACCATTTAAAAATTTGGGGACAGTAAGATGGTGTTTTGAAAGCAATGAATAGTTTTATTCAGCAAGGATGCATTAAATTGATCAAAAGTGACAGTAAAGACATTTTAAAGACATGTTATAAAAGATTTCTATTTCAAATAAATGGTGTTATTTTGAACTTTCTATTCAGCAAAGAACTCTGAAAAAATAAACGTATCACAAATTAACACAAAAATATATAGCAGCACAATAGTTTTCAACATGAATAGTAAAAAGAAATTGGAGTAATGGCTGCTTAAAAGCAATCACATAATTTATTTATTTATATATTTATTGTGTACAATTTCTAAATAATTTTTTACTACATTTGTAATACATTTGGATCTGGTATTTTTCTTAACGTTTTCCTTGTCACATTTTAAATTAGTTTGTCTGCTAGTGTCTGTATGACCTAATACGCTAATAAAAATGGAAATTATTATTTTGGGCTAAGCCTTTTACAGCACCATCAGGCATCTTTCTTGCACATTTTCCCCTTTTTTCTCTGCTTCCTCTTCCTCCCTCCCTTTTCTTTTTGTCTATCCCCCTCCCCTCCATCCACTGTCAGCGTATTGCCTTCATTTTAGCTGACTGCAGCTTTGCCTGCTAAATTGAATTAGTCACTTTGTGGCTAGCCTTTCATTACTTTTAATTAAAGCGTGTCAGCCTTCAGCGTATCCAGACTCCGGTCATATATTAGTCTGAACTTTGCCAGCTAAAATACATCTAAAATCCTGAAATCCTTGTTTTAGAAGGTTTTTTAATTACTCATTCCATTGCACAAACTTTACAGACCATTCTACAATGCAAGGAAACACTGTGTAAAGATGTCTACTTGTACTTCTGACAACAGGCTGGTGTCTGTGTCTCTGAGTGGAAGGATCTGGTGTTGGAGGCCAGCACTGAAGTCTTAAAGATGGGCAGCTCACCAGTAGCTCTGCTCTTCCAAGCCTTACTGCAGTTCTCTATAAAGATGGGTGCCAGGTAGAGCCATTTCACAAAGCACAAGTTACTTTTTTGCCAGTCTCTTGCTGCATATGAGAGGATTTTTGCATATAGCTTTAGTAGGGTTTTGTGTTCACATTTATTGTCACCCTGACATTGTCAACATGTCAGATCAGTCATGCCACATGTTTGTATTTCATTGTTTGCCTCCTCTTGGCATTGCATTCTTATTTAGTCTATTTAAATATGAAATATATCACCTTTATTCATGATATCAGAGGTTAAACTGGGTCCGGATCAGATTAATAATGGTTTGTTCTTCTACAGGGAAACCCGTCGCCTGTTGGAGAAAATAGTTTATGCTTCAGCCTCAGGCGGCTCTGAAACAATAGCGTCAGTGGCACGCTGGTACCTCCTGCGCCACCTGCACGCCAAAGATGACCTGGAGCTGATAGATGTGAGCAGTTGCATTCACTCGCTCTACTTGAAAACAAATGAGTAACTCAGGCTTGTGTTGCCCTTATCAGATTTGATTCCAATGTAATAAAGCGTACTGAAAGTTCAGCTTCAGCTACCTACTATATTAAGATTAATACCTATTTAATACCTATAGTAATACAGTGTTTCATTATCCATTTTGTTATTTTTTGTGCTGTCAAATGATTAATTAATCACATCCAAAATAAGTTTTGTTTACATAATATGTGTGTACTGTGTATATTTTAATATATAAACATGACATATTTTTCTTAAATATATACATGCATGTGTGCATTTATATATACATAATATAAATATACATAGTACACACAAATATTATGTACATAAAAACTTATTTTGGATGCGATTAATTGCGATTGACTACACTAATTATTTTATAAATGTACTTTTTTTCAAATTGCTTCAACGGTTATTGTAATTGTCCCTATAGTAATACAGTGTTTCATTATCCATTTTGTTATTTTTAGTGCTGTCAAATGATTAATTAATTAATCACATCCAAAATAAGTTTTGTTTACATAATATGTGTGTACTGTGTATATTTTAATATATAAACATGACATATTTTTCTTAAATATATACATGCATGTGTGCATTTATATATACATAATATAAATATACATAGTACACACAAATATTATGTACATAAAAACTTATTTTGGATGCGATTAATTGCGATTGACTACACTAATTATTTTATAAATGTACTTTTTTTCAAATTGCTTCAACGGTTATTGTAATTGTCTGAATGGTAACTATTGGCCATCTAATACAGTTAATGAGATGAATGAACTACATTCACAAGCTCAAGCTTTGTATTTAAAAGGGTCATGACATGATAAATACATTTTTCCAGAGTTTTTGATATATAAGAATTATTTGTACCATTAAACATCCTGCAAATGTCATAGCTTACAACATCACCAGTATCAAAAAAAAAAAAAAAAAAGGAACTAACCAAGTTCCAAAACCGTCTTATTTGGATATTGTGGGATTTGTGACTTCACACAGGCAAATACATTTTCATATGACTACGTCTAGAACATCGATGAAATATTTTACATCATCGTACTATACGCCCCACCCACTGGCATTCAGTCTGATGCTTGTGCTTGTTCACTTTCTAACGTACTCCATGCGCTTGAGCTACTCCTGACAACAGGACAAATGGAAGAGTAAAGGAATACTTACTTTAATGCGTTTGGTTTAAACAAACATTTGCGTCTGTAGAGCCTTCAGAAGGTCCCCAGCGTCATTTTATACAGAGGGTCAGAGTGAGGGTTCAAAACAGTCATTTTTCAAATATATGACTGTTAAAGTGAATATGAAGTGAACCACAAGTTACACATTAAAATAATTTTATAAATCCATGTCATGACCCCTTTAAGAATGGCATTGTGTTTTGGGCTTGTAGACTCTGTTGGTGAAGGCAACAGCAGAAGGAGACCGCAGACTGGTGGATTTCCACAGACGCCTTTACCCATCCAGCTGAGACAGTCCACCATCCTCACATCCCTCAGGAGACCTGCATTTCACCATTGTTCTGCTTCATCTCTTGCACACTGAGCAGTTTACTCACCGATCAATGTTTACAAATCTGAAAGTCTTTACATGACCAAGTACATTTCATTATGTACGGATATATCTGCTAAGCTAATTTAAAAAGACACTTGATCTATATGAATGGCTCTTTTAATAGCAGTTTATGGTATAACTGAATTAGCCTATGCTCACTGTATTGCAATCACATGAGCGTTGATACATGAAAAATTACATTAATGATTCATGATTATTTTTATGTGCCTTACCCAAAGCGACAGTTTTTCGCCATTATTACTATCACCATAAGGCTCAGCTGACTATACTAAATCTACTGCTATTGCGATTATGTAACTCAAAAGAGTCATTGCTTCAGATCCAAAATCACTATTGGGCACATTTGAAAGTGCAGCAGTGGGATATCTGCTCTTCAGATTGTCTGTTTATGGTCAGAGAAACCAAGAATTCAAATGAATTGCTTTTTATCTGATGCATCATTATCTTTGCCCTACAGAAGCAAAGGCAGAACTAATTAACCTCTGTTTTTCCTCACTGTCATTTCCAAATAACTGACTTTACTCATCTCTGCAGAACGGTCGACTGGGCTGATTGAGGGCTATTGAGTCCCAGAAATACTGAAGCACATATCCAAAACAGAAAAAAAGTGGGAAATAACAATAATTGTTTATCATGTTGGGTGTATTTATGCTTTGCAATTATGCATTGTTGGCTTGGAAAATTAAATGAAAACAAAGCGATCTTGTTTGTTTATTCTAGCATTCATTACAATCAATACTGGCCTGGGGACGTGCAGACAAACACAGAACAATTCATCTTCATAATCATTCAGTATTGAGCCTGCATGAGTATTGTGCTTCTAATCTTGGATTTGTCGTAATTGTACCTTGATTGAATTTCATCAACTATGATTGTTCACTCAGAATCTGATTTTAAAGTCTGGTCCAGCAAAAAGAGATTTAAAGGAAATGACCTCACGACTAAAGCTGACTAAATCCTTTTTTTTTCAATCTAGAAAACAAATGTAGAGCTTATTTGATTGTATTGTCCTCTGCCCACATTCTGCTGAATCATACTTGGTGTTCTCACACAGGCTGTATATTCCAGCATATTTGTCTTCTAAAAGAATGATCCAGTCAGGGCTCCTTCAGTCCATCCATGTTTCTCTGGATCTGTCTGATATCTCGTTGCAGCTCTCCTTTGTCCAGCTTGGCTTTGGTGTTGCCAATGTGTCTCAGAGACGCAATGGCATCATGAACCGCATGGAACCCTGGCAAATATAATAGAGGAGATCACCTTCAGAAAGCTGTGGGAGCATTACCTCTGTGGCAGAAGTGTGTGTTAGATGTCTCATCAATAATGCATCACCTGCCTTCAGTCCGTCACAGGAGTCTCAAAGAGAATTTGAGAGCAGAAATCATGTAAGGCCGGAGGTTACAATGATTGTGAATTCTTTGTTCTGTTTGTTTATTGAGGTTGATTTGGTCTTTTGTACTGAATGCCTGGAAAACGGTGTAATCTGTCAATCCATAACTTTTAGAAACAGGAAGGAAATATAGATAAACTAATAAATGTCATATCTGCTAGGGTGGAAGATGCCCAGCAGGCTTGCCTGTACATTAAGCTTCAAATGATGCTAAAATACTGATTAAGTCCCAATTTGGGCCTTGTTTTCTATTAGCACTTTAATTTTACAAGCAAACAGCCACAAGAGAGATAAATTGGGCCGCTCATTTTGGTTGGTATTGCATGGCAGGCAGCTAGAACACAATCTTTCCAGTCTGTTTTTATGTGATGTGCTAGTTTACTGTTCAGATTTGGGCTTTCAATGATTTGTCAATTCAGAGGTGTGGGCAGAGAGGCACTAAATATGATGGAGTAAAAAGGTCTATATCATACTTAAGCTTTTCATATACAGTTTGGAGTCCAAACTTTTGAATGGTAGTTAACAAGTTGAGATGTTCTAAGGGCTTATTATGGTTATGTCATCCTATTGTAAGACTTGCCTGACTGGTACTCCCTCCTCATCTGTTCTAGTTCTTCTCTGAAGCACTGCTCCAAAGTGTTGATCTTGCTGCTGAGTTTGCTCTCTGAGCGCTTGGTCCTGTCTGAAGATCGCACCTTCTCCAACTGTGCCTCCAACCTTTCCAGATGACTAAAGAGAACAGCCTGTGCTCCACAATGCAGTCAGGAGCTAATATTGTCGCTGAGATGGAGAGCATCACCTTGCACATGCCATGATGCCCATGTGGCAGCTCATAGACTGGCATTTGCACTATTTGGAGGCATATCTGGTGAGACATTGGTTCCCCTGGGAGCCATTTGGTGCTGAAACACTTGACAGTATGTGGAACTGACACTTCTCATGTTTCCTATTTACATTAGTCTCAACAGAACAAGTCCTCCTGACAGCAGATTTGATAGAGTTTGCCGGTGGAAAAGTATCGCAATAAATGATGCCAGGGCTGTCAAGTCTCTTCACTAGTGCCCTTCACATAGAAATTTTATTAGAAGAAACTAGGGGCCTAAAATAGATTTCTGCAACAGGTCTGATTATTGTTTCTTTTATCAATTAAATATTAGCAGTCCCGCAGCCCAAACCACTTGAAAACATGTCTGCCAAGTAAAAATAAATAAATGAAAAATTAAATTCACGCTTCAGTATATTCCAACTTGGCATGTCACATTTGATTATATGAGATTCAATAGTGTTTGGCCTTTTCTGTTTCTCATCTTTTCTCTTTTCTTTCGAGTATGTCAAGGAGCCATGTTTTTCTTTTATTGCTAAATACAATAACATTTTTCAAATGTACAAGAACAAGTGCCAGAGTACAAAAAAAAAAAACTAATAACATTCCATTTGAAGGAATTTTTTACAGTATGTCAGCTGTAAAACAAGAATTCATTTCTTCTTAATGAAACTTTCCATATCAAAAACATTTTTGTACAGTATGAATTCAATTAATACAAAAAAATTACAAATGGTTTCCTTGTCATTTTACAAATCACAAAAGTAATCAGTATTTATTTCAAAATGCTCCAGCAGATGTTTTACAGTCAGTATATATTTTAAGTAATTGTTTTGTGAAACTTATCGAATTTAACTGCTGTTCAGTGTAGGATCTATGTCTCACAACAGACCCACCTACATGATGGAGACACAGATCAAACCCGCACATTCCATGGAGGGTTTTCGAGGTTCGTTTCCTCAGCCATCTGCAGTCGTAAAACTCATGCCGGGTCAGTGAAGGTGAATCAAAATGCTCCAGCAGATGTTTTACAGTCAGTATATATTTTAAGTAATTGTTTTGTGAAACTTATCGAATTTAACTGCTGTTCAGAATTTGCACCAGTTCAAATCTTCAAAAAAGTTGTGTTGTGTTTTTAATGTCAATAAATTAGAATCAATTTTTGTATTGCATTGTTAATGGACATTGTTAATTGCCATTACTTGCATTGGTTAAGTGAATGATTCAATGACTCATAAAGACAGTCCACTAGTTTCATTCTTGAATGAATATTATACTCTCAAAAAGTAAAAATATAAAAGCTGTCACTGAGGCGGACCCCGAATCTTACTAATATACACACTTTAGGTATTTCACGAATTCACGCTTA